GGTGCCCCCCTGGAAAAAACAGCCCCCCCCCCCACTTCCAGTAGCAATCCCTTTTCAAGGTGTATTGATCGTATTTTAGTCTGTGGTCAGTTGGTCCCAGAGACACAAGGCTCTGCCCACAAGGCAGCAGCAGGCCATACCAGAAGGCAGAAGCTGCTACTTCCCACCATTCCCCTCCAACTCCATTTGCCCCAGGGAGTCTGGGTTATCCTTGTTTGGTGCCAGGAGATCCCAGAACAAAAGAGGGAGGCACACACTTACACAGCCCTTTGGATGCCTTGTTGACAGACTGACTCTGCTCACCCCCTGTCCAGCTACAGGAACCCAACCAAACTCCCTCATTTTCAACACCACAAGACCTGGACTTGCCCCATGCCCAAATGGTTTAGTATTTGTGCATTAAAAGAGAATCCTAACAAGCCTGAGTGTCAATGGTATGACAGGTATGAATGACACTGCCCAGCAGTAACTTCAGACAGATATAACTGGGCCAACCTGGGTAAAACAAAAAGATGCAGAGAAAGGTATGCAAAACACATGCTCGTTCTTTTCAGTATTCAATATACTCATTTCCTCTGAGAGATGATACACTTACTTCTGTCAAAAGTAGCCACGTGGTCCTCATTACTACAGCATCAGAGCACTTCAAAACGTTTCCCAAACACATAGATACAACATACATATGATATAGGGAGATACATTTTAGAGCTGAAATACAAGGCTTGGGTGAACCTGAAGAGAGGACTCCCAAGTTTAAGTTACCATCTCAGCCATTCTGCCTTCCTACCACAGAAACCAGAAGTCAAAGATAAAACAAAAGCAGGCTGGCCAGGGAGGAGACAGGATTGCAAGCTCTAGACTCTGAGGACATGCCTGGAAAGCATAAAGAAAACTGGATGAAGAAAACATAGCACTGAGTATCTCCAGGACTTAGATTAGATTTCTTGGCCTCTGCTTTCATGACTGTATTTTTCTCCTCCACAAAATATTTCAAAATACAGAGAGTTCAAGTTTAACAAGAGAACATTGTCGAAAATAATCAGGGGGAAAAAAAGCAGCCCTGAGTTTATCTGCTCAAACTTAAAACCTTGGGGAAAAACCAAACCCACAAACCCATCAGGAGTTTCCGCATGACTTACAGAACCATGAGAGAAATCCAAATTAACAAAAGCACCTACTATCAATGGCCTAGTTAAAACTTCATGAGCACCTGGATACACACTGCCAGGAGCTCCTACAACACTTGCAGGCTGCAAGCAAAACTACATCAAGCTCCTTATCAACCCAAAGCAAAAATCTAGGATTAGACACACCTCCCAGTGCACATCAGTTGGTCTCCCTGCTGCAGGAGGCACCAGGACTTCCAAAGCTCATGAGCATTTTGAATTAAGCAACCCTCCAGCATGAGATGGATGTACATGAAAGAACATCAGCAACACTCCACAGCTGGAATTACTGACCATCATCCATGAACTGTTTTTGACAAACCAGAGCTTTCAGTGCCTCAAACATGAGAGTGTTTGGACGAGTACAGAGGATACTAAATATCCCTCTGAATACATGAGTTTTAAAGTGTATATAAAAAATACACTGTGTTTACAGGTGTATGTTGAAGTCTCTTGCTACAAACAGGTTGTCAGCTCTAGTATAAAAATAACACATCTGAAAAGTAAAAGGAGGAGTCAGAGACCACAAGTACCCTCAGTCCCATCAAATGGCAGCAAGATGGTCTGTTGGTGCAGTTACTGACCACAGCCAGCACCAGCAGCTCTGGAGAAAAGGGCTGGAATCCCAGCAATAAACAAGTCCAGAAAGCCTTGCTCTGAGGAAAAATCCAAGCATCAGGTGGCAGAACACAGGCATGAGAAACAAAGGGAAGTCCATCCGTGAGTAGTGGCTACGGGCGCCGAAGGCAGCTGCACCTTTCTCAAGCAGTCCAGCTCTCCTCACATGGAGATACTTCAAAGGCAGAATTGCTGAGCACAACGTGAGCTTTGTGCATGTCCCCATGGTCAGTCAGCTGTGCAGATGTGTTTGTAAGAGATCACATCAATCTAAAGAGAAGTGCTCTGCAAAAACATCATTTTTCTTCCCAAACAAGCCTCGCACTTGCTCGAACTCCAGGGGCACATCAGTCGCCTTCTTCTTTACTTCTTTATCAAAAAGCTACAAATTAAAAACAGAAGATAGTGGTAAAACTCAGCACAAGCTCTTCACCCTGGCTGGTAACATTGCTCACTCTAACCTCTTAAAAGATCCAGCACATAAGCCTTTTATGCAAAAGCCATCCCTGTCACCACTGCTGCTCATGCTCTGTTATTTAACAGACATTTTCCTGTCTGTCCCTGCCTCTGAGTTACCAAAAGTCAGTCTAGCTCCCTCTCCAGCAGCAAGGTTGAGAACAGGACATGGCTATGGCATTCAGGAGCCAGTCTCCTTTCCTGTGGTTTCAATCATTCACAAAGGCACAGCAGCACTACCTCATAAGCTGAGAGCTCCAGGAGTCCCGATATGTCATCCTCGATCTCAGATAGCGACTGGTTCAGGATAGCAGCTGCCTTGGCCACCTCTGGGTGATAATGGCTTTGTAGAGTCTGCAAAAGCAAGACAAACAGGAGATGGACTAGTAAATAGATGGTAACACTCATCCATCTGGATTCCCACAAAGGTATCTGCCTCTTTTGCTGGTCTGATCTTCCGTGAACATGAGATTCTGACAGGGGCAAGTCTGCTCTACTGTGCTACTACAGAGCTTCCAGAAATCCTGATTTCAGCCATCTTTCAAACACATCGAAGTCTCCTCTCACCCCATCCAAATCCAGCTCAAGATAGATGGGACCCCTCCACAGGTCGTGCCTACAGTGCATCCCCCAACTCTGCTACCTCCCATTGCCCTGATGCTACCTATCCAAGCTCCAGCTCCCTGGACTTCCTGCTCCTGCACAACATTCTTGTTGCTGTTTCAGCCCCTTACACAAAAGCCCTGTAGCATTTAAATGAAAGTGATAATCCTGGCATTAAGGTTTTAGAGCCATCAGGAGCAATTTAACCAACTTCAACCTTCATACCCCATCTTACAAATGATCCAGGTGAAAGGTGAACTTTACAATCTTCTCTAGCACTTTTCAACCCCTTTCTGCAGGATGACCTAGCTGTACCCAATTAATTTCCACCAGTGCTCAGCAAGTTCCTCTCTCCCCTCCACAGCAAATAAAAAGCCTCATAGATTTTCAGCTATTTAGTCTGTTTCAGCAGTTAACTGCACCCTTTTTAGCTGCACAGTCAGCTGTGTGCTCCCAAGTCCCTAATCGACATGCACATGAAATCCTTTGCCTCTTATGCTAGGACAGAAAAGGGTGCAGAGTAAAAGATCAGCCAGAAGCTCACTGCATCTGCAGGACATAAGTCAGCAGGTTCATGGAAGTGGGACTGCCAACATGTGTCAAGGAAGCAGCAAAGGTGGCAGAAACCCACACCAGATGCAGCAGTTCCTTTTTAGCTGACATACCTGAATCTCCCAGAGTGAGCTTTCCAAAGCCCTGCTTTTGGACGGCTCTTTCTCCTCCATAATATACGGATCTTCTGAAATATCTAAGGAAATAGAGAGAGTAAATACCTCCTGCATGATGTGTGTAACCCCAAAGAGAACACAGAGACCCATAGTGGTGCTGCAGCCAGAGCTGCTCCTTCCCAAGATATTTAGGGTGCAGGAACAAGCTGACACATCCCAGCACAAGCCAAGAGTCACTGTTTGGCAGCACTACAGAATCATATCACTTTTAAAGAGCAGAGGAAGTGGGACACAAAGAACTGGAATAGCCTGATGCAAAGGGCATCCCAGGCAACTTTGAATGGTCACTCCTGGTGTTCAACACTGGTCAGCTGAATCAGAGAGAGATGAAGTAAGAACTGAGGAGACTGCTGAGGCCCCAGTGGGGCCACCTACACAAAAAACACTACAGACAAATTGAGTAGGTCTCTGTTTTCTGCATGTGGTTTCTTTTCCATTTTAGTCTTGTTCAGCTCAAGACAAGCTCAGTGTCCGGTACAGCTCCCCCAGTCCTTTAGCCCTTGGAAGTAGCCTGGCTCAGTGTGCCAGGCTCAAAGCAACCTTCACCCAGGGAATCACGACAGCAGGGAACCAGCTGTGGGGCCCTAGGTCAGAGGATCAATGCAGGCAGGTCTTCTCAGTCAGAGAACTGGCAGGAGCAGCCTGCTGGCTTTCCACAAACTCAAGGGACAGAAGGATCCTCTAAAGCTCAGAAGTGGGATTCCTCCTTCACAGGAATCCTGCTCTTTATGATGTCTCAAGGCATAAAACTGCCCTGCCCACCTTCCCTCTTACCTTCTGGCCCGTTAGGTCTGTGTACTAGCACTTTGCACGAGGGGTGCCTCCGGAAGAGGTTACAGATGAAGGGAATGACCATGAGCAGAGCCTCAGGAGGAGCAGTGAGGGCCAGCCGGGAGAGGCGCTTTATGAACGCTGCCACCAGGTACGCTGGCAGGTGACTGTTGGAAAGGAGACAGAAGAAACCAGCATGTAAAAGTCCTATCAAGTGAGCCAGCATCCTCACCAATCCAAACAGCGGGTCAGGTTAAAGATCTGTGGGGCTCTTGAGGTTTTTTGGGCTATGGAGTAAGGAGAAGCTGTAAGAATCCTGATTTCAAGCAGCAATATAGGGTCTGGTGTGTTTTCCTGAACAAATATGGGGGCATCTCTGTTCAGTCCATGAATAATCTCAAATCAATTCAATCCAGATGCATGGCACCACTCCAGGCACTCGTCAAGCACAGCTCTGGTACATGGTCATTCACATGGCAGTCTTTATTCAGTCCTTTTAGAAACTTCTGGGTTTATACACTTAGCCAGCAAGCACTTCTTCTCATGCCATTTTTTGGGTTTAATTAATACACAGGCGATGATGTTAAATTTACATAATACTTCCAGGACTAAAGCAAGTACTGCAGCTGTTAATGGGAACATTAGGCTGCTGTAATGTAAATGTGCAGGGTAAGGGGGCTTTTTAATGGTAAAAATGCAAATTTCTAACAGCAATCAGCTCATCCAGCCACTTCTTTCAGGTCAGAAAAAGCAGGAGGAAAACTGACAGTTTTCAGCCACTCAGCCACTCAGCCCTAGGGCTTGTTACACTTGCAAGGCTCAGCAGAGCCACCCCACAGGACACCATCTGTCAGCCCTTGTTACTCTCTCCAAGGTACACTATGAATACAAGCAGTTTGATATTAAATGCTCAGTGCTGAACTGTAAAGTGTTACTCTTGGTTTATTTTCTAACATATGATGGCAACTATATGACCAGCTGCTTATCTAGTTTCTTCCCTGTGTACAATGATTTGACAGGATCAAGACAGACTGTCAAACACTTCGTATTTCAATGCTCTATATTTGCAAAAGGTCATCAATTTATCAACAGCTTTATCATCTATAAACAGCCTGTGAATGTTACTTCTCCATATTCATAAAGACTGACAGAAAAACCATCACCTTCAGCCAAACGGAATACAGATCAAAATACATCCATAATCACTTGCAGATCAAACCCCGATCACTAACTTCATTTTCACTCCCTGAAACTAGATGGGTGTGTGGCAAATGCTCAAAAATAGCACATGAAAAATTACACAACACTACAATAACACCCCCAAATTCCGTTTCCTCAGCCAAAACGAATCTAACCCAGGAGGCACACTGAATATGTTATATCCAGACATGTGGGGGACTGCTCAGCAATAACAGAAAAGCAGGAGGAAAATATGTGAACAGCTATAATAAGGGTGGTACTTACGATGAAGACAAAAACAGGTCAAGCAAATGGAAGAAGCGGGCTCGGTATTTCACGTGATACACAGAAGGGTCTAAAAGGCTGTACAGCTTTTTGTAGAAGTCAGGATATTCCCTGTTAGAAAACAGGAAAAAGGCAGTACCTGTTAGTGGTGTACAGTGGGACTACGCCGTGTCTAAATGCTTCTGTGCCTTCATTACAGACCACTGCTGGGCTCTGTTTAGCTTCCTTAGGCTTCTCTCCACAGCCACCCCCTGAAAACAAGCTGTAAGGTGAATTTATGGCTCTCGCAGTGCCCAGCCATTTTCCAGGATGTGAAGCTATGTCCACTGACTGCAAATGGTACAGGATCCAGTGAAAGGCACACCAAAGACTATGGCTTCACTATGTAACCAGATCAATGGAAATTGATTTTCAAGTGCTGAGCAACCACAGTCTGGAGAAGAGGACACTTAGGCTCAGCTGAAAATAAAGTCAGACTACCAAAAGAGCTCAGCATCCAAACAGCTGAGCCTCTTGTGCAGAATTTGGCTTTCTCATGGGGGAATTTAAAGCCTGCAGGTGCGGAGAATCCATTTCCATTCCTTTACATAAAGATATAAATGCAAAAACCCATGTTCCTTTTAACAATATGCTCTTTTTACTTACAGATTATGCTGATGAATCAGAATAAATAATCCATTTAAGGCTAGAAGACTGATTGCTCCACCTGTAAGAAAGCAGGCAGGAATCAACACAATAAAAATTAAACCAAAACCAAACCCAAAAACCAATCAGCTTCAACTTGTTTCTATTATAAAACCTCCCCAGAAGGAACACAAAACTAAGAGTACCTGAAATCAGAGCCAGCATGATGGCTGTATGGTGACACAATTTCATCTAAAACCTTCCAGAGGGTTACAAGTTCCTTACAGAGATTGAACTGTAGTTTAGAGGAACGGACTCAGAAGGACAGAGACACAAAAACATGATGCTGTAATCCCCCAAGGAAGCCACACTGGGCAGGCAAAGGTCTCAGAAAGGCAATGTCTGCAGGAACCTGTGTCCCAGTGCAGCCCAGGTATCAGCAGTGATGGCTGAACTCTATTTAAAAGAAATCAATCCAGTATTCTGCTCTTCCCAAGGCCTTAAATACTATTTTCCTTACACACAAGGAGCAACAACACTGACAAACAGAGGTAAAAACATCTCATTTTTAGTGACACTGGAGTTCCCCCTTGTTCCTTAGCTTCATCCCAGCCAAAAGTACATCTCTTTCATCATCTATGCCATGGTGCTGCATCTACCAGACCTTCCAAGTCCGTATGTACCATGCTGCAGGTACGTACCACAAAGGACAAAAAGCCTGTTTTCACTCACCTATGCCATAGGCCAGTGTTAAGAAATCTATCATGAGTGTGGGTTCATTCATGTACGGCAGGATGGAGTCATGCAGAATAACAAGAACTTTTTTGTAGAGGCCAGCAGGTAGCTGTGAAGGATGAAACCATACAGTCAAACAACCACTGTGAGAGAACTCAGAGAGCAACAGCAACCCATGGTTCAAAAGACAAGTACAAACAAAGGGGAATGTGCCAGGACAATACAGTTTGCAGCAACAGTTCCCAAACATGAAAGCTTACAAGTGACACATGCCCATCAAGTTCATTCAAAGCAACAAGTGCTCACAACTAAAAGTGTCACCACAGATAGAGGGGAAAGTCACCAGCAATAAGGCTTGGTAACCTTCAACATGTGAACAGAGGTTGTTATTGCTGCAGGTCACTCCTTAGGGTCAGACTTGTTTAAGGTGGTAAAAAAGAGGCCAAGAGCAAGGAGAAGAAACAGACTATACAGGAGGTCACGTCTCTTGGCAGAACCATCCAGCAGAAGTGGTGACTGGGCTGTTCTCATCTGACACTGAAATAGTGGGGTCCTACCAGGAGCTCCATGCAAGGACAGCCACAGCCTCTGAAGATTAGCAGCTCAAGAGTGGTACAGATCAGTGGCAGAAGTAACACTCACCTTGTGCTTCAAGAAACTGAGCCACATTTTTTCAAAGGCCTGCTTGTGTGCCTTAAAACAGAATTGCAAACAGAGAGTTAAAGACACTGGCACAGGGAAAGCTCTACTTTAAGTAGACAAAGCTTCAACTCTGAAGCATCAAATGAACACTTACCTGCAGCTTTGACACTTTCAATTCCTCCCAGTTGTCTAAGAAGAAAGGGGAAACAGATGTTGAACTTGAAATGGATGTTTAAAGAAATTATGATGATCCTTTGTTACTCAGTCCTTTGATACCCTAAAAGTTAGGGCTGAAGTCCTTGACTAGGTACAAGGCCATGACAAACCCCGCTGCAGACTGAGGAATGTGGATTTTGTGCTACTCTTTAAGATCACTGTGATCACAGCAGCAGACATTTCTCATAAGCAAACAATAACGAAGTCTTTACACAACAAAACCCCTTAAGCCTCATTTTCCTTTTCGTACACAGTTCATCACATGGAGCTCACTAACCTTGCTTCACCAGAAACTTGACCATGTCACACTCTTTGTTTGGCATGTTAATGGGTGAAATGAGGGAAAATACATTCTGCTGGTAAAATGGCAGCGGCCTCTGAGAAAAAAGCACATAATTAAACATGAAGCAAGTTCCACAAGAGATAGCAAGATGCTGGCTTTGATATTGCCCTATCTCCCAGGCACTGAGTATATCTAGGAAAGAAAAAGGAAAGGAAAAATGCTGATGGCTGAACTACATACTGGTGTATTCTCTCCTGCTGCCTTGTCCTGGAGCATTATCTGTTTGCACAACACAAAACCTATCTCTGAACTAATTCTGGTGGATCCAATTAAAGAAAACAGACTCTTCTTCTGTACCAGAGAGGTAAAAGTTCTGTGTGTGCCACCCAACTGCAGAGACCTGAGTAAAACAGAGCCCAGGCCAGAAGGATTTGCAAGAACAACAGCGTGTCTTGAACGACTTTCAATTTGAGACTGAAGAGTCATTAAAAAATACCTAAATCCCAATGCCTTCAGGTAGACATGCTCATTTCTCTTGCTTCCAAATCTTTCCGTATACCACGAGTTGCTCCCTGCTTCACGCACAAGACACACTGTTTCAGAGCAGTTTATCCAGACCCATCCCTACAATAACACTTGTTACCTCTTTTGTCTTCTGCATGACTTGTCCAATACTCTCGGTGACGGCCTTTATGACAAAGTACCGAATGTCATCATACTCCAGGTACTCTTGAAAGCGAGAGATGAGCAGTGAAGCGTCCTCGTTTAAGGGCAGCAAGCCATCAACAACTACCTAACAAAAGGTTGGTAAAGGAAAGCAACAAGTCACTCTCTTACAGTACAAGAGCAGACAGCGAGCGGTGTTGGCTGAGGGCACCCTCCTGTCCTTCTGAAAGGCAGCTACTTGATTGTGTGCTGCTTGCCCCAGAGCAACAGTCACGAGCCATTCTGACAGGTCCTCCCAGCCTCCGCAATGGGCCCCTTCCATCAAAGACAATGTCATTTAGAAATGACACAGTGGCTGAACCAGGGGCAGCACCTTCCCTCTCACCTCCCAGTCCCTGCAAGTGAGGCCAGGGACTCCAGAAAAGCACTGCAGCACTGGTACTTGATAAACACTCAGGAACCCAGCTCAAACCTGTCACATCACCAGGGACAGTGCTCTCTCTTGGTGTCCTCTCTAGACCATCCCCTGCCCTTGGCACCGAGAACCTCCTAGACTGATGTTTTAGTCCTGGAGAAGGGGTGCATGTGAGGTCGTGTGTGCCATCGGGTAACTACCAAGAGGAACTCAGTTCTGCAGCTTACCTTAAGGAGGTCACGAGGAAAAGTTAAACTCCCCTTCCACTCCACTTTGATCAACGGGTATCGTGCCTCCAACTCAACAAACTTCATCAGGGTGCAGAGCGACAATTCCTTTAAGAAAACCAAGACAAAACCCCCCTCAACAAGGACACCAGGGCTCAGACCCGAAGGAGGAAGAACGAACTACGCTCCTAAGTAAGCTGCGCGCCTGGTGAGCAGGGGTGAGCCAGAGCAGGGGCAACACGTCCGAGCACTGCGGCCCTCCCGCACTGGAATGTCAGAGCGATAAATGCTTCCGTGAACTCGCGTCTCAGCAGCACGCTCGGGCCCTACCTTGACCTGGAAGGCATCGTGCCCCATCAGCTCCGCCAAGCACTCCACGCACTCCTTGTAGCGGTGCCTCATCCATATCTTGTACTTGTCCTCGGCGCTGCAGTCACCTGAGGGTGAAACACGCGAGTGTGAGCGCTC